GGGTTATTGAATTATGGTTAATGGTTGGTAGATTTTTTTTAACATTATCTGCCAATTACATCTGCCGCCCTTCTGTGTCCCTACCTGGCCCCCCAACAAAAAATTTCAAGACATGCCACTGGTGAGGTGAGGGCAAGCAGATGGGAGGTGTGAATGGTTGTCTTTCAAATCTGCAGTAAAAAGTGCTTAGGTCATCACCCAGGGTCATTTGTTGAAAAGCAGTTTTTTTAGCTCTTCGCTGTAGCTCCTTTTTCCTACCCTGATCTTCTTGTTCTGTTTGTTTCTGGCCTGCTTGTTCAGGGCCCAGTCCTCGCTGCTCGCTGCTGTAGGCCTTCCCCTTAGTTTCATTTTACTTTCTAGTTCTTAGGTTCTTGTTCGTTTTGGTTTGTTTCCTTTTGTGGGTCCCTGTTAGTTTGACATATCTATCATGTATGTTAAGCTCTGTCTCCCAGTCGTGTCTCTCCCTCTGTCACTTAGTGTGTGTCTCATGTTTCCTGTTTAAGTTTGTTTTAGGCTTTTAGGCTTTTGTTTCCGTTGTATGTTTCTTTCACAGCAATAAAGCTGCCTCTTTGAGTTTATCCTGTTGTGTTTTGACTCCTGTGTTTGGGTTCTTATCCTGTCTGCCTCACAGCACCCCGATGACACTAGGAATACCACTAATGGTTTTAAATGTCTTTTATGTACAGACGATGGGGACTCACTGAGACTTCAATGCTGCAGAAGGTTTTCTGTACACTTTCCAAGATCTCTGCCCTTCTCAGATGTTTACACACAATTCCTTGGGCTTCATGGCTTGGTTTGTTGCAACTATGCAGCTATGGGGCCTTATAGACAGGTGTGAAATTTTCATAACCATGTCCATTCAACTGAATTTTCCACAGATGGACTCCAATCGAGTTTTAAAAACATGTGACAGATGATCAGTGATCAGGATGAACCTGAGTTCAACTTTGAGTTTTGTGGCAAAGGCGGCAAGCTTTGGGAGAGCCATGCCCAACTTATGTTAAAGATGTCACAGTACCATATCACCCCAATACAGTAGGTTGCTCTCAGACTTCTGGCTAACTGGTGGTTCCTGTGAGATTTAAAAGTAAAATGGGATGCAGAGCTTTAAGCTTTGAGGCCCCTCTTCTATAGAACCAGCTTCTAGTTTGTATTTGTGAGACAGACACCCTCTTTACTTTCAACATTAGGCTTAATACTTCCGTTTTTGATGAAGCATATAAAATGATCTTTTGATTTGGTGTTATATAAATAAAACGAGCTGAAGAGCTGAAAAACTTTGTGTATGTTATATTTGAGTGGCCCTTGAAAATATCTAGAAAAGTATTTAATATATGAAGCTAAAATTTCACAGCAATCATCATTTGAATCATAAGTCAGTGCATATACACTCCACACTGATGTCCTGCAAGCACTTCTATAACTAAAGATATAATCAGAACACTGTTCACTGATATGCTAAAAATCAGTTCAAGCTAGCAGTTTGGCTAGGGATGTGGAAATTAGTTTTCATCTCCAATTAGTCTTTATTAACCTGTCTGAACACCATGATGGAAACTGGTCAGAAGGGCAATAGTTTTAATATTGTCTGAATAAAAGTTGAATATTGTTAATTGATTTTTCTGTCACAAGAATTTTGACAGTCTGTCACACACAAAAAGAAGCAAGACAGGAGATAAGGAGAAGGGGAAAGCCCCAAGTTAGTTGAACACCCTGCATCAAATGGTAACTAATTCAGTTTAAATAATTAAACATACAGTAATTATGGATATTAAAGGTTCCTCTTGGAATTCAGTGAGCATGTTGTTCTTTTATGCTAGGCTCAAAGCTACTAAATGCAGGAATCCTGCTAATGCTGCAAATATCTTTGGGCTATATTCAGTTTAGATGTAACAAAGTTCATCTGACTGTTGTCCTCTTTACGGGTAAAGTCAACAACATTTTTGTTGATGGTATATCAATAAGGCTAATTCTGCTGGAAATATTAAAATAAATCTCTCTTGTTTGCTCTTTCTGGTTTTATGTGATCTACTCTACATTGACTGTCAGTTTATTTTCTCATCTATTTAATATAAGATACTAAAAAATGTGTGATACAGTACAGATGAGACAAAAGATGGAAATACTCAAGTCAAACTCAGCTGGACTCAGTCCTGCTTATGTTGTTGAAAGTGAAGCTATGCCTCTATTAACGTAACTGATTTATCAAATGGAAGGGTGTGAATCTACCAATCTACCAGCTTGCAAATCTTGCAATCAGAACTTCCTTTATAGCTGTCACAACGATTGTCCTGCTCTAGCTAGCTCCATCTGTTCAGATCGCAGTGTTACAGATAGTATGAGTATGTAAGGCTTTTGGAAGAGGACTGAACGTGTGCACACCTAAACATCCACACTTACCTCTCTCACAGGTGCGTGACCAGTAGCCAGTACCAGTGCAGTCACAGATGAATCGATTCCAGCCTTCTTTGCAGACTCCTCGGTTCTTGCATGGGTAGCTCTCGCACTGCTTGCCAGGTTGTTTATTGCATGATGGTTTAATGCCAGCCCCATTTTGTGCCTCAGCAATCTGACGGATGTCCTTGCTTCGACCATCAATGAAAAGGTCACGAATACAGCCCACATAGCCATAGTTGAGCATTGCTGTCCAGAGCTCCGTGGGCAGGATGAGGTTGGTGCGGTCAGTTGGAAGCCCCCCCAAATACATGTCACCCTCCAGGTCCAGAATCTCACTCTCACCACTGGCTGTGAACGGAGTCCTTCTGCTGTTTACAGAGATGGTGCCTGAAGAGAAATTTGCAAATTCCATCATAGTGCTCCTACTCTTTGATCTTATGAGATGTGCCACCAATTTTTATTGATTTTGCCTTTCATTATAAAGGTTCCCTCACTGACATACTACTGGAGTAACAAATTCTTTCCGATTCTGATATTTGAATTTTACATTACTTCAAAAAAGATTTTTTGTATTTGTAGTCCAGTAGACTGTATACCCCATACATCTAGCCTCACTGACCTGAGCGTCCATCCCTCTGGATGTCGACATGATACCAGACCCCATCATTCACCTTTGTCTGGGTGGCCTTAACCTTGATAGTCCCAGAGCCCATATCCAGCAGCAGGTACAGGCTGCCATCCAACAGCTCCACAGCAAAGAAATCCACCTGAGCAAGAGAAAAAGAAGTTCCTTATCTGAAAAAATTAAGACAGTTACTTTTTTCTTTGGGTGCTTCTTTTTCATTTTCCTAAAATCTAAAATCTGTGTGTCATATAATCTGACAAATACACAAAACACTCAGTTTTGGTACACTCAGGTAAGCACGGATAAAACATGAAGCAACTTCCCAAGTTTGACCTATAATTAAACCATAATTCAGTTTGTGATACCAAGAAGCAACGTTACGTAAATCAGATTTCCTACAGTAGTTTTTCTTTCTTACCCTGTTGCAGTCAGTACAATGTGGCATCACTGTTTAGTGTGGTCAGTACATTTTAAACCACACTCTACCACACCCAGGTTATGTTTAGTGACAGGTGAAATTAACTTAAAACTTCCAAGCAGAAAATTGAAGCTAAGGTTAATCATGGAGTTACACAATGTTCCACGCTAAGGTCAATTCTGTGTCCTGTCATCCTGTCCTTTAAAGGCCTTCAGTTAATCCAAAATGATGCAACAAGAGTCCTGATATATTGACATCTTCCTTTGGAAACAAAGCATCCCTCTTGACTTGTCTAAAGTATCCTGAAAATTTAGTTGGGTATTTGGTATACCTAGTGCAAATGTTTGAACCCAACTTATCTAAACCACTTGGAGCTTCTATCAGCGCACACATTGTAGTCCCAAAGTTGGTTATACTGGAGCATGAGATATTATGCCTCTAAGTATGAGTATATTCTGAGTTTATGTCAAAAAAGTGATACCAAACGCTTCTGTAGACGCTCATATTTGAAACTAGTATGTAATTGCTCTGTCAGTACTAATTATGTTAGCAGGTCAAAGGGAAATTCCATTATATGTTAGCATTATGCTAGCGGGATGAACGCTAAATATTTTTTCACTTATTTCTCTTGGTTATACCAGCTGTAATTTCAGTTACTAGCGTCAGTCTATACTGTGTAAGATGAGAAATATATTATGTTCCAAATATATGTTGTAATATACTTTTTTGTTATGTTTGTAGTCTTACAGCGCCTTCATTAGGGAGACAAATAAACCCTGCAATGACAACTGGAAACTTTTGCCTCTCCTTTTGAAGAACTCTTTATCTATCTGTCAAACTGGGCATCGACGTACAGGAAGGGCAGAATAGTAAAACGATTCATTCTCATGAATCGTAGTGAGTTCTGTAAAAGAAAAGATGGACGAAACACTGGAAATGTCCAGTTCTTTATGCTCCAGCCAGCTTACATCATCATCTACTGCTGTCGACAGAGCATGAGCAAAAGCATAAAGCAGCTGCAGCAGCATTAGCTGAGGCTCAAGCTTGGGAAGCGTCTGCGCTGAGCATCCAACTGCGCTGCCACACCTTTGCCAGTCTTCTGTGCTTTGAGCCCAAAGAAAGAGTCTTGCAACTGGAGTTACGGAGGACAGCCAGCAAATAATGATCAGTTTGACCATTCTCAGTCCAAGGTATGGACACCCACACCTGTAAGTGGTAGTCATTCAATTCAATTCAAAATGTATTTGTATAGCACATTTAAAAACAACAGAGTTAACCAAAGTGCTTCACAATCATTTAAGAACAAGAGACTGGATGTAACGTCACAAGAAGAGCTAGATCTGCTTTCCAGAGTGTGGCAGTGAAAGACGCCACAGCACTAAACCCCAATCCTCATCCTCAAAAAGCAGAGAACCATGGGCTAGTGAAGGGCATGTCGGGGAGGAAAGAGAGTCAAGTGTGGCTGATGTATCACCAAAATGCACAGAAATATGAGGAGACTCGATCAGTTCAAGTTCATGGTCCTTAACCCGACTGCTGTATCCTGCTGTACAACCAGAGAAAGGAGTCGAGATGTCTGCTGTTCTAGATGAACAAAGCAACCTGTCCATACTTTTTTGACATTTTCAACATTGAAGGACAGCTTGAACCGTGTTCACTGAAAACATCCTCAGGTGCTGTGGAGATAGCAGGGAGGCGAGCCTATCTATTTCATTTTATAGTCCTTTGATGGTACCACTCAGCTTCCCCTGCCTACTCTTACTGAGTGTGACATGATACCTGACAAAATCCCAGAAATTGATCCAGAGGCCAATTTCCTCCTTCTCATTGGCAGAGACATTCTGCATGCGTACAAAGTCAGAGAACAGCATAATGGTGTCCATAATGAGCCACATCATTAGCGACTCAACCTTGGTTGGGTGATCGTGGGAGAAGTGTGTCTGGGAGAGGTGCACAAGGCAGCCAACACTAGTGTATGCAAAACCAACATTCTACCAAATGGATGAGCTTCACTCTTGAGTGCATGTCCAAACAATATGCAAGTCAAAGGTTTTCACACCTCAAACCTAAGTCTTCAAAGCTCTGCACAACACCTGGAAAGTAAGAGAAGCGATCTTGGCAGTCAGGTCTCCAAAAGTTGATTCTGTTCACCTGGACGTAGCGTTTTCAGTGGGAGAAACGTTTCATCACTCATCCAGGTGACTTCTTCAGTCTCAGCTGACTGCAGGTTTCCCCAAATCTTATAAACAGTACATTTGCATAATGACTGAAACCAGCCCACTGAAGGAACAATGGGCTGGGAGGTCACTTCCATCATCAT